ATTATATATGTAAGTTATCTACAAGTTTCTTCATCTAGCTGAATTCATCGATCTCTCGCACGCACACTCGTACTCGCACACGCACGTACACGCACACATGCACATTCACTCTTACACTCATGGATATAATATGTATGTGCACGCACGCACGCACGCACACATGCTGGCACATATGCGCACATGCACACACACACACACACACTCAGGCACTTGGTTGCCTATTCAGTCTGTCTCTGTTAGTCTGTCCATTCGTCTATCTATCTGTTTGTCAGTCAGATCAGTTTGTCAATCGCTGCTGTCTTTGCTGTAGGTGGCGATGGTCGCGCAGGGCCCGCTCTGCGACGCGACGCCCCCCTACAGCAGCATGGAGAGCTCCTGCTCAGAGTGCTCCGGCTCGAGTCCTCCCCATAGTGCGCCGCCGTCCCCTCCCCCGTCGGAGCCACTCAGCAACGAATCTGAGAGCGACTACGACTCGGAGAGTGACATCGGTGAGTGGTTAGTGTGTGTGGGAGGCCCGAGTGGGGGGATGTGCTGGGGAGCCAGAGGTCGCTGCATCTGCTGCGTGAGTGTAAGAGCCGGTTTCGGCGCGATGGTCGTCGTTTGTTTGGTTTAGTGGCGGTGTTGATGATTAAGTAAAAGCAAAAAAAAACAACGTAAAGCATATATTTACGCCCCGTAAGACGGTTTGAGCCTCTTATTTCACTGTGGGTCGTTGCTACTCGGTGCTTGAACCACGGTTGGTGCTACAGCATCTCACATGAACTCCATCGCTGTCCCCTTTACTGCCGATAATGCTTTGCATTGTGAGTCCTACAGCGCGTTTGCGCTATGCGCGCGCATCCTACCTCCGCACACGTTGAAGGATTTATTACGAGATTCTTGCTCAGAGACACTCGATCCGGAAAAAATATAGCGAAATATAGTCTCACCTCTGCACACGTTAAGGATGCATCGTTACGCGCAAATCGACCTCGTTCTCACGCTGCGTTACACGTTGCAGACACGATACCCGTCGGCAGCGTGTCCAGCCTCATCGAGATGGTCTCGCTCTCGTCCGACGGCTACGCGACCGCACTCTCCAAGCCGGACGCGGCGGCCATCGACGAATCACGTCGCGCGAAGCCCGTCGAGGTGCCGGACACGCGGCCGGCACGCGCTGTCGCGGCGGCGCCCCCTGGCGGCACCTCGCTGAGGCGTCGCATCAGCGCGCAGGGAGAGAAGTTGCCGCAGATGAACTTTGCGGCGGCGGCGGCGGGCGGCGGAAGAGCGGCGTGGCCGGACCAGGTGGCGCCGGGATGTGACGCGGAGGAGACGCCGACGCCGACGAACACGCCGCAGCCGCACGCTGGCTTCACGACTCGGCCGCCGGGCGACGCGGCCACCGTCGTGCCGCTGCTGCTGCAGCACAACCCTCAGCTGATCTCGCAGGCGATGCCGCCGCTGCCGCCCGGCGCGCAGGCGTTCCCGCCGCCGCCGCCGCACAGACTCGCCGCCGCGCCGCAGAGAAGCACGCCGAGCCACCAGCCGAGTCTCGCCGGCATGCCGCCGAACATGCAGCCGCCCCTCACGATGCAGCCAACCCCTCCACCGCCGCCTCCCCCCAGCATGCAGCCGTCGCCGAACATGCCGCCAAATTCCCTGCCACCAAGCATGCCGCCGAACATGCAGCCGCCCCTCACGATGCAGCCGACCCCTCCACCGCCGCCTCCCCCCCAGCATGCAGCCGTCGCCGAACATGCCGCCAAATTCGCTGCCACCGAGCATGCAGCAGAACATGCAGCAGAACGCTCC